AGAGAAAAATTTTTCATCGGTAGAAATTTTTTTATCAGTGAAAATTCGAGAAGGTGTTTTCGAACACGAAACTAATATGAAAGGAAATATATATTTTTTTTCGAAAACTAAAAGATGTGTCACTCTAATTTTTTTTTCAAAATGAAGATCTGATAATAAGCTTCCAATAAATCCACCAGAGAAAAATTTTTCATCGGTAGAAATTTTTTTATCAGTGAAAATTCGAGAAGGTGTTTTCGAACACGAAACTAATATGAAAGGAAATATATATTTTTTTTCGAAAACTAAAAGATGTGTCACTCTAATTTTTTTTTCAAAATGAAGATCTGATAATAAGCTTCCATTAAATCCACCAGAGAAAAATTTTTCATCGGTAGAAATTTTTTTATCAGTGAAAATTCGAGAAGGTGTTTTCGAACACGAAACTAATATGAAAGGAAATATATATTTTTTTTCGAAAACTAAAAGATGTGTCACTCTAATTTTTTTTTCAAAATGAAGGTCTGATAATAAGCTTCCAATAAATCCACCAGAGAAAAATTTTTCATCGGTAGAAATTTTTTTATCAGTGAAAATTCGAGAAGGTGTTTTCGAACACGAAACTAATATGAAAGGAAATATATATTTTTTTTCGAAAACTAAAAGATGTGTCACTCTAATTTTTTTTTCAAAATGAAGATCTGATAATAAGCTTCCATTAAATCCACCAGAGAAAAATTTTTCATCGGTAGAAATTTTTTTATCAGTGAAAATTCGAGAAGGTGTTTTCGAACACGAAACTAATATGAAAGGAAATATATATTTTTTTTCGAAAACTAAAAGATGTGTCACTCTAATTTTTTTTTCAAAATGAAGATCTGATAATAAGCTTCCATTAAATCCACCAGAGAAAAATTTTTCATCGGTAGAAATTTTTTTATCAGTGAAAATTCGAGAAGGTGTTTTCGAACACGAAACTAATATGAAAGGAAATATATATTTTTTTTCGAAAACTAAAAGATGTGTCACTCTAATTTTTTTTTCAAAATGAAGGTCTGATAATAAGCTTCCAATAAATCCACCAGAGAAAAATTTTTCATCGGTAGAAATTTTTTTATCAGTGAAAATTCGAGAAGGTGTTTTCGAACACGAAACTAATATGAAAGGAAATATATATTTTTTTTCGAAAACTAAAAGATGTGTCACTCTAATTTTTTTTTCAAAATGAAGATCTGATAATAAGCTTCCATTAAATCCACCAGAGAAAAATTTTTCATCGGTAGAAATTTTTTTATCAGTGAAAATTCGAGAAGGTGTTTTCGAACACGAAACTAATATGAAAGGAAATATATATTTTTTTTCGAAAACTAAAAGATGTGTCACTCTAATTTTTTTTTCAAAATGAAGATCTGATAATAAGCTTCCATTAAATCCACCAGAGAAAAATTTTTCATCGGTAGAAATTTTTTTATCAGTGAAAATTCGAGAAGGTGTTTTCGAACACGAAACTAATATGAAAGGAAATATATATTTTTTTTCGAAAACTAAAAGATGTGTCACTCTAATTTTTTTTTCAAAATGAAGATCTGATAATAAGCTTCCATTAAATCCACCAGAGAAAAATTTTTCATCGGTAGAAATTTTTTTATCAGTGAAAATTCGAGAAGGTGTTTTCGAACACGAAACTAATATGAAAGGAAATATATATTTTTTTTCGAAAACTAAAAGATGTGTCACTCTAATTTTTTTTTCAAAATGAAGGTCTGATAATAAGCTTCCAATAAATCCACCAGAGAAAAATTTTTCATCGGTAGAAATTTTTTTATCAGTGAAAATTCGAGAAGGTGTTTTCGAACACGAAACTAATATGAAAGGAAATATATATTTTTTTTCGAAAACTAAAAGATGTGTCACTCTAATTTTTTTTTCAAAATGAAGATCTGATAATAAGCTTCCATTAAATCCACCAGAGAAAAATTTTTCATCGGTAGAAATTTTTTTATCAGTGAAAATTCGAGAAGGTGTTTTCGAACACGAAACTAATATGAAAGGAAATATATTTTTTTTTTCGAAAACTAAAATATGTGTCACTCTAATTTTTTTTTCAAAATGAAGATCTGATAATAAGCTTCCATTAAATCCACCAGAGAAAAATTTTTCATCGGTAGAAATTTTTTTATCAGTGAAAATTCGAGAAGGTGTTTTCGAACACGAAACTAATATGAAAGGAAATATATATTTTTTTTCGAAAACTAAAAGATGTGTCACTCTAATTTTTTTTTCAAAATGAAGGTCTGATAATAAGCTTCCAATAAATCCACCAGAGAAAAATTTTTCATCGGTAGAAATTTTTTTATCAGTGAAAATTCGAGAAGGTGTTTTCGAACACGAAACTAATATGAAAGGAAATATATTTTTTTTTTCGAAAACTAAAATATGTGTCACTCTAATTTTTTTTTCAAAATGAAGATCTGATAATAAGCTTCCATTAAATCCACCAGAGAAAAATTTTTCATCGGTAGAAATTTTTTTATCAGTGAAAATTCGAGAAGGTGTTTTCGAACACGAAACTAATATGAAAGGAAATATATTTTTTTTTTCGAAAACTAAAATATGTGTCACTCTAATTTTTTTTTCAAAATGAAGATCTGATAATAAGCTTCCATTAAATCCACCAGAGAAAAATTTTTCATCGGTAGAAATTTTTTTATCAGTGAAAATTCGAGAAGGTGTTTTCGAACACGAAACTAATATGAAAGGAAATATATTTTTTTTTTCGAAAACTAAAATATGTGTCACTCTAATTTTTTTTTCAAAATGAAGATCTGATAATAAGCTTCCATTAAATCCACCAGAGAAAAATTTTTCATCGGTAGAAATTTTTTTATCAGTGAAAATTCGAGAAGGTGTTTTCGAACACGAAACTAATATGAAAGGAAATATATATTTTTTTTCGAAAACTAAAAGATGTGTCACTCTAATTTTTTTTTCAAAATGAAGGTCTGATAATAAGCTTCCAATAAATCCACCAGAGAAAAATTTTTCATCGGTAGAAATTTTTTTATCAGTGAAAATTCGAGAAGGTGTTTTCGAACACGAAACTAATATGAAAGGAAATATATTTTTTTTTTCGAAAACTAAAATATGTGTCACTCTAATTTTTTTTTCAAAATGAAGATCTGATAATAAGCTTCCATTAAATCCACCAGAGAAAAATTTTTCATCGGTAGAAATTTTTTTATCAGTGAAAATTCGAGAAGGTGTTTTCGAACACGAAACTAATATGAAAGGAAATATATTTTTTTTTTCGAAAACTAAAATATGTGTCACTCTAATTTTTTTTTCAAAATGAAGATCTGATAATAAGCTTCCATTAAATCCACCAGAGAAAAATTCTTCTCGAATTTTCACTGATAAAAAATTTTCTACCGATGAAAAATTTTTCTCTGGTGGATTTAATGGAAGCTTATTATCAGACCTTCATTTTGAAAAAAAAATTAGAGTGACACATCTTTTAGTTTTCGAAAAAAAAAATATATTTCCTTTCATATTAGTTTCGTGTTCCAAAACACCTTCTCGAATTTTCACTGATAAAAAATTTTCTACCGATGAAAAATTTTTCTCTGGTGGATTTAATGGAAGCTTATTATCAGACCTTCATTTTGAAAAAAAATTAGAGTGACACATCTTTTAGTTTTCGAAAAAAAAAAATATATTTCCTTTGATATTGATTTCGTGTTTGAAAACATCTTCTCGAATTTTCACTGATAAAAAATTTTCTACCGATGAAAAAATTTTCTCTGGTGGATTTAATGGAAGCTTATTATCAGACATTCATTTTGAAAAAAAAATTAGAGTGACACATCTTTTAGTTTTCGAAAAAAAAAATGTTTTCTGTCATGTCAATTTTGTATTGGAAAACACATTCTTGGAAAACACAAATTTCCTACCGATGAAAAGTTTTTTTTTCTGTAGAAATTTTAAAAACTTGCTTTTTTTATACCTATGTATTTATCATTGCCGACGTCCAAAACGTTAGAATTTAAACTACCGCTGGCGGTAATGCGCTTCTCCTGAAAAATCGTTGCTGGAAATCGGGTGCTAACTTCACACGCGTCAAAAATGCATAGTTTTTGAGTTATAGCCGAAGACCCAAAAAGCTGACAAACTCACCCCGCTCTTAAAAATGCACTCCGTTATCTGGTAGCACTCTACGGTTTTATCATCTCTAGGGACCATTTGAACATATCAAACAATAAAATTCCACTAAGGTCTTAGTTCCTTATTGAATGACATAGTCAATAGCCTATATTTCTGAGATAGGTAAATAGTATAGTATAGGTGAGTAGGTACTTATTGTTCCTTATGACAAAGCAATTTTATTCTGGAAAGCAACATACAATAATGCAATACCTACCTACTTATATAAATTTCAACTAAAGAGAAAGCTCAAGAAAAAGGGTCTCCTATTATTATGAAGGCATTACTTTCCAATTTATTTGAAACAGGAAAAGAAGATCTCATAATGCCCATAATGGATATACGCAATATGGAAGAAGAAAAAACAGAGAATTTGGATTTATTTCACTCTCTACCTTACTTTTTTGTCTCTACAGCCAACAGCCTTTGAAAACAAAGACGGCCGAAGAAGTAACTGTTATAGCAGATACTTATGTTTGAGGGAAAATTGTTCACTGAGAGTCAAGGATCTGTGGAAAGAGCGAATCAAAACGTTTCGACCTAAATAGCCTGAGGAGGAGTGACGATTTATAAGTACAGATAAAAAAAGTAAGCATTCTATCTCGCAAGACTTTTTGTTTCGAGAAACTTTTTATGTGGCTTCCTGTAAAATACGCTATATTCTGATAAATTTCTTTCAAGTCCAACCTCAACAAAATGCCTATTAGTAGGTTGTAATTATCAAGAAGCTAGGAGCTCAGTGCCTGACTGCTCAGAGTTTTTATATATATGTAGTTTGTTAATGGATACCAAACTTGGCTTAAATAAAAAAATTCAGAACTGCTTTTTTCAATCTTTATTCAGAAACACACAATAATTTTATGCAAAACCTTCACATTTGAAATAGGTACGTAGATTTAATGTTTCACCCATCACGAACAGTCAAAAACATATATCAGCGCCTATCAGATTTCGAGAAATGAAATATCATTCAGTTACAAATCTTTTTGACCATTGTAATTTATTTATCCTTTTATCTCCAACACTGCAGCCATATTCTCTCCATCTCCTTCGGCCAAATACTCCAAGTCCCAAAGACTAGTAACAATCAAAAAATGTCCAGCAGGCAAAATTCCTTTTAACACTTCACAAACATTTTCACAATTTTTCCTTGGTACAAGCCTCAACCTGGTATTTCCAAACAATTGGCCAACAACGGTAGTTTTTTCAATCAAATTAAGTCTTTTATAATTTGGGGCATTGTAATTTTTATTCCATATTAACCAGTTGTAAGTGACAGGAGAAAGCTCATCGGGCAAAATTGAGGGTCTATAAGTGAAATTACGGAAGACTTTCATAGCTTCCAAGTCGCAATTTTGAAAGTGCATGAAGAAGTTATCAAAATATTTTCTTTTTTCAAACAACGACAACAAATCAATATCTCCTTTTTTAGAGTTATAAACATTTGTAAACAAATTACATGGAATCGATCTAGCAAATGCATCTTTATCAATTATCTGACCAATAAAATCTTCTGGAGTTGTTTTAATCCAATGTTCAATGCCTCCATTAATGACCAAAGGTTTTTCAACATCAATCGCTCTTTGAATATAGTCGCTTAGATCACTAAGATGAGGAGACAAGGGAAAATATTCAAAATCCCTTAACGATTCGCATAGATCACAATCAAAAACCCCTTGATCAATTAATAAGGGTTTTTGTTTGGGGATGAGACAAACTTCATCTTTCAAATATCTCCAATCAAAATATGGCAGAAATTTAATCATGATTATTCTTGTAATTGCTGTTAAGTGCCAATGAAGTCTTTCTTGATGATGTCTGATTATCAGAATAGAAATTATTGAAATCATTAAAATTATACTTATTTTGCGAAAAGAATATTTTGTTGGAATTAGCGATGTTAATGGTTTGATAATTTCAAGTCTATCGTGGATGTTGATATTTGAGGCAACCATTTCTTCGTTAAGCTGTATAAGATCTTTATCTAAGTCTTCAAAAGTATAGTTGGAGAGTTTTTCTGTTGTTTTCCGCATTTTTCAATCTAAAAAACATTTTGAACCATATTGTATCAAGCAACTATAAAAACAAACAATATTCTCACCTGATAAATCTTCTCAAATCTAAAAACCACCCTGTATAGCGTTGCCGATAAAGATCACCCCAAGACGAGATAAGCTACAGGTTGCTGAACTCTCTCTAACCTAAAACAAATCTAATAATAATTTGAGTCGCGAAAATCTTCTTCTATTAAAAGTTCACCCCCTTTGCTACCCCTAAAATACGATTGTTGGCGCACGCGGCCGCTCTATCGATTTTGCTTTTATTTTGCCGCCACAAAACAAAAAAAGTTCGGCCAATGACCGCGAAGCCGAATCCCTCGTTGCCGGTTCGAATCTGGCTTAGGTCTAAATTCGAAAAAATAAAACCGTTACCAATATTTGATTGTTTTATCTATACTAACAATATCAAAAGCTTACAAATCTAATAATAATTGGTCGGATGGAAAGTTATTTAGATAAATGAAAATGGAATGAACAATTTTTTGCATGTTGAAAGCTGGTATCAGTAAACGAAATGACTCCTTTTCCATTGTCAGGTAAATCTACTTTCTCATGAGGTGGAGCAAATGCGAAAGATGTACTTGGAGATACATCCGTGGAAGTAGTCACGATTTTCTTTTCCCCCATAAGCATTTTGCAAACTTTCTTTTTTTTTCAATAGATTCTTCTATGTAACCTTCCGCCACTGTGGACGACCTAAATAATTATTGTTGTTTAGATCAAGATCGGAAAATATTAATATTTTTACCTCCAACCTCCTAGGCGTTTCAGCGATGTGAAATCCACATCTGCATCTGCAGCAAGAGTAGCAGCACTACGTCGGAAACAATGACCTGTATATTCGTTTGAGTTCGGCAGCTTTAAAAATGCTGCTACAAGCGAAGATATCTTTCCGAATGAGTGAATGCCGACGCGTTGCACCGTGCATTTTCCTTTGCGATAAGAGATGAAGACGTAATCATGTGGTACATTTTTTGGTCGAAGACGAGCATATTTTCCACATAACTCAACTGGATTGACCACGTTTCCTTCGCCGACCACCGAAAACACTCTTTTTATATTAGTCTTTGTATCAGCTAGAGTTACTAGAAGGCAGTTGTCGTCTTTTTGTATGATGTCTTGCACTCGTAGAGAGTGCAATTCTTCTCTTCTACACGCTCCGGGTGTAAAACGCTTTAGTGCAACAAAAATTAACAAATTTTCTATAAAAATTAGTTGATATATATATATATATATATAGTATTATATACGTATACCAATAAAAAAAAAATAGTGTAAAGTATTCACTTAATATCCACTTATACTTTAATATACTATTTTATCCTTCTCTCGTGTTACTCATAACTCTCTTCCGCATACTACATAAATATAAAAATAATTTTAATATCTATCTTCTCTTTAAATGTTGCACCTAATTAGTTTATATTGTACCTATATATATATGTACCTACCTATTGTTTTTATTTTTAATAATGTAGAACTGTCCAAAATAAAAAAAATTTAATTGATAACCTATTTCACTTATTTAAAGTACTCCTCAGCGTGTTTAAATCCAACATTCAAAAACGCGCGTGTTTTAAAGTTACCAATGACAACATCAACAACCAACAACCCGAGAAAGATCTAAATGTCAACTATTCAATTATTGATTTGTCAGGAGTAGGTACTTGTAGACAACGTCAAATAAAATATAACAAGTGTCAAGCACGAATTACGGATTCTACAATTATTAGTAATTTATGATTTGATTGAACGTATACCAATAAAAAAAAATAGTGTAAAGTATTCTTGGATAACTGGTCTTTGAAACACTTGCTCTATTTCGAGCACTCCGGCAAAGACCTTAATATCCACTTATACTTTAATATACTATTTTTAGCATTTTTTTTTTTGTCTGATGATGGTTAATAAAACCGAAATGTAACAAACTACAAACTAGTGTTTTCATTGCGTGACCGAATCCCAGGATAAAAAAAGGATTAGAAGCAAATACAATGTTTACATGGATAGTAATCCTACAATTTATTATACCAGGTGTCCCACCGAAAACTGTCAATGGTCTATATCTTGAAAACGGCGATAGATAAAAAAATAAATAAAAACTCGTTTTTTTTTTTTACGGATATGCGCACTCGCAAGGAAATGTCCTATCACGCTCGAGAAGCGGCAAGTACGCGGAAATGTCGGTGTATGTTGGTCTTGAAACGGTTCAGGTTGTAACCTGCAGGGAAAACCGTCGCAGGGAGTTTATTCCACAGCGATGCTGTTCTCCAGAGATATGAATTCTGATATAATGAGGTTCTTGGTGCCTCTAGTTTGACAGTAAATTCATGGTTACCGTCTGTTTGACGGTTTCGCCTGGTAGGTGCTACTCTCGGTGGAATCATACGTGCCAACTCTTCAGAGCATTTTCCGTGATAGTACCTGTAGAAGAGAGATAAATCGCCCACAGATCTGCGATGTTCGAGACCATCCAAGTTACGAGTAAGTGCGGGGTCATTGATCAGCTTGATAGCTCGTTTTTGCACGGTATTCAAAAGCATTAAGGTATGTTTGGGTGCTGCACTCCATATATGTGAGCAGTACTCCATAGTTGGTCGAATCTGGGCTTTGTAGAGTGTCAGCAATTGGCTTGATGTGTACAGATGTCTTGTACGAAATAGCACCCCCAGCTTTTGGGAGGCCCTTTTAGCAATATCTGCCACGTGACTGTGCCAAGACATGTTGGACTCTGCAGTAACCCCCAAGATGTTCAACTGACTCTGTAATGTGACAGCACTTCCAGATAGCATGATGTTTGGCTCATCGGTGCTGGTCTTTTTTGAAAACAGAGCTGCTTGGGTTTTCTGCGCGTTGAACTGTACAAGGTTTTTGTTACCCCAGTCCTCTATTATCTCCAGGTCGTTATTTATCTGCGATATTTGAGTTAGTCTAAGATGATGGAATTCACGTGCGGAAAGACCTGTGGGTGGTATGAGTGAGGAGACTACATTGCCATCGTCTGCAAAGCAATAAAGTGGATTTACTGTTTTATCTATGAGGTCATTTATGTAAATCAGGAAAAGAGTTGGCGAAAGGATTGCTCCCTGTGGCACACCAGCATTTATTTGGTAAGAGTTGGAGTTCTGGCCATCCAGTGCAACATAAATGGATCTGTCCTTTAGGTAACTTTCAAACCAAGTGCAAAGTTTCGGCGATAATCCCATTGCTTTGAGCTTCCCAAGTAGCACATAATATGGGGTAAACATCGTTTTTCAGTTGGGCCAATATTTATTCATTTTTGTTGATAAATCAACACAGTACCAACATTGGGGCAACGTTAGTTTTAACTATGTGGAAACAATATTTAAAAATAATCTTGTACCAATATTGTTTTCATAGATTAATTAACTCTTCAGTAATTTGAATATTGGCCCAAGACTTCTCACTACAATATTGATTTATGAAATATTGGCCAAATATTACATTTTATATTATTGAAACAATATTGTAATATAATATTAATTCAATATTGGCATTCAATTTTTTATTGATATTTAAATTCACTTCAAAAACTTTGTACACTCAATATTTATTTCCAATTTTTTCGCAATATTGATACTTTTTGAAAAGCCCAATGAAGGGCCAATATTTACATACTAATTTTTACCAAGGTTAGATTTTCTGAATTGAAAATGTTGGTCCAATATAGGGTATTCAATGTGCGCACTTGGTGTGCCGACCAAGAAATAGATGGAGACTCTGTCTTCACTTTACCTGTCTTAAACCTGGTTCCAGGATGAAGCCAAAAATTGGTTGTTTTCTCTCTGCGGGACCCTGGCGGGACTTAACCATGCTGATGACTTGTGATACAGCGAAACGGGTCCACGGATGGTCCGGCAAAGAGAAAACACTTCTTAGTCGGTCCTTATAATTGGTCCGTTACCTTAATTAAATATAATATAAAGCCAAGATTTACATACGTCTCCGGGCCAATATTGGTAATTTCAATTGGCTCTATATTGCATAAAGTTCTTGATATGATATTGATTATTTCTTTTTGGGCCAACATTTGGTTACGTTATTGTACCAACGTTGGTATTTGTTTTTGGGTATATATTGACATACGTTCTTGGACAAATATAGCAGAATGTCCACATCTTTTATTGGGCCAACATAGAGAATCTGACTTGGGCCAATAAATCGTAGTTATTGTCCCAATATTGGCCCAACATGGGAGTGCTACTTGGGTTGTTGAGCAGATTTTCATGCCAAACTTTGTCGAATGCTTTAGATATATCTAAGGCAATTGTTCTTGTTTCACCCCGCAACTCAATCGCTTTTTGCCATAAGTGAGTGACGTATGTAAGTAAATCGCCAGTTGACCTATATTTTCGAAATCCGTATTGCTTATCGTTGATAATTTTGTACTTTTCCAAGTACTTGGTTAGGTGATTGTTCACAACTCTTTCCATTACTTTTGATATCACCGGAAGTAGAGCAATTGGTCTATAGTTTAACGGATCTGTCTTTTTTCCTTTCTTTGGAATGGGTTGTACTGCGGCAGACTTCCATGATGATGGATATACTCCTTGCCTGTAAGACAAATTGAATAATTTTGCGAGAGTTGGGGTGAGTTCGTTGGCGCAATTTTTGAGTACTATTGCGGGAATGCCATCCGGACCCATTGCTTTGTTTGTATCCAGCTTTTTTAGGGATTTTCGTATTTCTCTGTGACAAAAGGGTACCTCTGGCATACTATGGGAAACCCTTTCAATGAACGGTGGAGTTTTTCCGTTTGGCACTGTTAGGTTGGAGTTGGAGGAAAACATTTGGGCAAGCATATTGGCTTTTTCCTCTGATGTTGTGGCTAAGTGATTATTTTTATCTGTAAGTGGTGGTATGGATGACTTGGTGAAGTTAGATCCAACAGCTTTTGCAAGAGACCAAAAAGACCTAGAACTACTTGGACAATTCAGCAACCTGTTTTTTATTCTTTGATTGTATGTTTCTTTAGCGGAGTCAATAGTACTTTTGCAGCTATTTCTGGCTTCTATAAATTCTGTGTGGTTTTGAGCGGTTTGTTGTCGTTTTCAAAGGTTATATGCTCTGTGTTTTTTCTGTACAGCCGTTTGACACTGGCTATTGAGCCAAGGATTTGCATTAGCTCTACGTTTAGTTGTATGTGGGATATATGCGTCCATTCCAGATAAGATTACTTGTGTTATTTCATTACAGCAAATAG